AACCTAGGCTTGCCGTGGTCAGAAGAGCCCTCTCGTTCCTTCTAAGACCATGCGCTGCACTGGTCAATACGGTGGATACCCATGCCATGTCACACCCTGCTCCCCTCCAGGGTGCCCTGGGTTTCTTGGGTTTCGATTGCTTTGCTATGGAAAGCGTGACGTTTCCATTCCAAGAATCAAGAGACGTCCTGGGGTCTCAGGGTTAGGTTTCTTCTGGAAGGCTCCTGGAATATTGGCCTCCACTGTGCAGAGGACGCGGATATACCCGAGAACACTCTGCTCGGTGCCTGGCGGCACGGAGGCGGATGTGGCCGCCCTGCCATCGGTGGTCTGCCCTTGCCTGCCATTCCCTCCGCCCTCCCCCCCATTCTATTTGGCAGCGCTTCTTCTTGCATGACTTTCAAGTCTGTCAGAAGAAACAACGCCATAAAAATCAACAGTTGGTGCTCTGCGCTATTTCCTTGGATCCGCGCTGGGGCCCCCTGACGGCGCCTCCGGCGCCGCCCCTGGCGCGCTCCGCGCGCCTGGGAGGAGGGTCCAGCGCAGATCCAAGAAATCCGCGCGGAGCGCCAAAAGTTTCTGTTTATGAAGCCTACCAGAAAGCGATGACACAGCAGGCACGTCAAGCAAGAAACCGTCCTGTCAGCTGGTGCCCACTGGAGCAGCTGTTCCGTTGATGTTTCAGCGATGGTGCTGTGCACCGTCAGGAGATCTGTCCCTGCTCATGCATGTAAGGAACTTTTAGATGAGCCATTATCGGCCATGCCAATGTCGGGAGATGTTTATCCATGATGCATCAAGTGTCAGGCTCCCCCTTGTGGCGCAGCCACTTGTTTTTGCTGCTGTCGGCTCTCTGCTTTTTAGTGCGGGCGGCTACAATCGCCGTGCGTTTAGTGAGCTGGCAGGTCGTCTCCCCCGCGGCGTCTTCGTTCTCATCGCTGGCCTGCTCCCCTTCCTGTCCCCCTCTCTCCCTCCTTCCTTCTGCTTCCCCGCGTCCTCCCGCTCTCTGACCCTGCCTCTTCTCCTCGTGCCTCTTATACACGTCCTTACCCTCCTCCTTCCTCCATCGATCTCGCTCAAGCCCCGTCCCGCTTAGTCCCCTCGTGTGGACACTCATACGGGCACTGTCGCTGCCACTGCTCCTCCTCCCCCTTCGTGGTCCTCCCCCTCGTCCCCCTCCTTTCTCCTCCATATTGATCGTCTCCCCCATTCTTCCTTCTCCTCCCTCCCTCGGCTGTCGCCGGTGGCGCTCGCTCGATGACCTCGAGCAGACACGAGGTCTGGCGTTTCTGTGCTGTATGGGAGTCCTGGAGCGCTCTCGCCCCCCCCTGCGAGGAAACGTAAGGAGGGGGAGGGACGGGAGCCGTCGGAAGCGACATGAGGAGGAGGAGAGGGAGGGGGGGGAAGGGAGGGGGGAGGAGGGGAAGGATGAGAGCAGGAGAAGGAGGAGGAGGAGAAAAGAGAAGAGAAGAGAAGGGAAGAGCAGAGAAGATGAGAGCAGAGAAGAGAAGAGAAGAGAAGATAAGCATAGAGAAGCGTCTAGGAAGAGGAGAGGGATATCGCGGAGGAGGGACATCAAGGAAGGAGGAGGTGCGAAGAGGACGAGAGCGGGGGGGGAGGAGCTCGGGAGAGGGGAGGAGGACTATGTTTCGGACTATGTTATTCCGGACGGCCCCCGGGGGGTCCCCGAGGGGCCGGGCGACTCCCCGGCGCGGGACAACATCCGCCCCCTGGGCCTTCGGCTCCCGCGCCTTGGGGAGCCGGGGGCGCCGCTGCCCCAGGGGGTACCTTTCGCGGGGGAGCGCGGCGCCCCCGTCCGCCAAGGGGTGTGGGATGGGCGCGTCTGGCCCCCCCACAACGCCTCAGCCGCGGGTCCGTGTGGCCGCGAGGGGGGCGGCCCCCTCCCACAGCACCATCTCCCACCCCGGGCTCCCCAAGCGAAGGAAAGCGCGGAGGGGAGGGGCGGGGGGGAGGAGGCGACCATCCTCTGCGGCACCATCGGGGCGCTAGCGTCCGCGCCCCGCGTGGCCGAGTTCGGCCGGAACTCGGCCACGCGCCGGGCGGGCGGCGGCGCCCTCCCCCCCGCGCGCCGGCACCCCAGCGGTACTCCCCCGAGCCCCCAACGAGAAGAGGAAAAGGAAGGGGAGGTGGGGGTGGGCAGGGGGAGCAGGTGGCGCAAAGACCCCACAAATGTTTGCCACCGCTCGGGACGGCAGCGGGAGGAGGAGGGGGGGGGAGGGGGGAGGGAGGCGAGGGGCGCCCCCAGCGGCAGCGACCCGGAGAGCCCGGGCCAGGGCGCTGGCGACGAGGCGCAGCAGAGGAGGCCGGGGCGGGGGAGCGCAGTGCGGGCAGGCGGATCGTTACCGTTTCTCCGAGCGCCGCGTCCGCGCACTGCGCCCCCACGTCGCCCCACGGGCGCCCCCCGTCACCGCCGCGCCGCCCGGTCAGCCCGGCCCAAGCCTTGGCTCACCACCCCTGCGGCCCCCGGCAGCAGAGAGCGCCCGCCGCGCGACGCGCCGCCGGGCCAGCGGGCACGCCGCGCCGCCATGAGCCTGGCCCAAGCTCCGGCTCCCCCGGCGCCTTGCACGCCCCGCGCCGGCCGACGGCGGCGATGCGCACCCTGCACTGCACGAACTCGAGTTAGACAAGTCGCCACGGCCCACGCCACCTCCGCGCCCACCTGGCCGGAGGGGCGCGCCGGGCCCCGTGGCGCCGCATCCCCACGCCGTGAGCCTGGCCCAAGCCAAGGCCCCGCGACGGCGGCGCCACGCGCTGGTGGGCGGGGCGGCCGCCTCGGCCGCTAAGCGGCCGGGCCTACGGCGTCCGCCCCCAGGCGCCTCGCCGCCGCTGCCCCCCGCTGCAGCCAGGCCGCCACGGACGGCTGGCCTGGCGGCGGCGCCGCCGCCGTTGGGATGAACGAGCCCGGCGACGGGCTCACCTGGTTCACGGGCCCGAACGCTGCCACCCAGCGCGCGGCGTACTCGGTGATGTTGAGCTTGACGGCCTTCACGACGACCTGGTTCGTGGTCGGCGACCACTGCACGGAGGCCCCCGTGTTCTTCTTCAGCGAAGACCGGGACGGGATGCGGAGGCGCAAGGCGGCTGTCCCCGCCCTTCTCCGCGCTCCAGGCGGACGCCGCCTGGCGGCGCCAGGGGCGGCCCGCCTCCTCCTCGAGGATCTGCGCCGGGATGGGCGGCCCGGCGGGCCCGTGGAAGTCCCGCAGCCTCTCCGCCACCGTTCTCGCGTCCGGGACGGCGAGCTTGAACTGGACATCGAAGCTCACCGACGAGCTCGGGATGGCCGGTTTGACGCCCGCCGCCGCGCTGGACAGCCGCGTGACCAGGTCGCGGGCCATGGCGCGCGCATCCTCCGCCGCCTCCGCCGGAGCCGCCGCGGGCGCGCCCCCGGGCGCACCAGCCGGGGGGGGCCGGCCTCGGGGGGGGCCAGGGGCGCCCCAGTCAGCGTGGTCAGGAACCTGTCCAGGGCCTGCTGCAGCGTGTAGCCCGCGATCTCGATCAGCTCGATGTCAGCGCGGACGGCCGCGACGAGCTCTTCCACGCCGTCGTCGTCAGGCTCCGCGTCACCCGTCGCGGCGGGGGCCGCCGCTGGCGCGCCCGCCCCGCCCTGGGCGGCGGCGGCGGCAGGTGCCGCCTCCCGCGCGACCACAGCACCTCCGCACAAATCCGCCTCGGGGGCGGCCGCCGGCCCCGCCCAGCCTGGGGGCGGGCGCAACGCCAACGGCGGCTGCGAGCCGCCCGCCGCGCGGTGACCGGGGGGCGGCTGCATGGCGGGCGGCGGTGCCCCGGTGCGGTCTGCCGCGTCGGCGGCCGCCGCCCCGTGCTGCGCGGCGCCGCCCGGCGTCGCGGCGGGCGCGGCCGGCGCCAGGGGCGCCGCGGGCGGCGTTTGCGGCGCCCCCGCCCAGCGCACCGCGCTGCCCACGGGGGCCCCCGGCGGCGGGCACATGGGGGCGCGCGCGCCCGGGGCCACGACTGCTCCCGGCGGGCCCTCGACCAAATGCCCGTGTGGAGGGGCGCCGCCCGCGCCAACGGCCGGGGGCGACGGCGGCGTCGTCAACGGCGCGGTCGGCTTCGGGACTGGCGCGGGGGCGCGCGCGGCCATAGCCGCGGCGACGGGGGGCGCCACCCCGCCCTTCGGCGGCCCCGATGGCGGCGGCGTCGCGCCCGCCCATCCTGCCGCGCCGCGCAGAGGATTGCCCCACGCGCGCCCGGGGGGCCCCATGAGGCCGGCCGCCCATGGCATTCCCGCCCCGGCCAGCTGTCCCGCGGCCAACGCCATCGCCATCGGGCCGAACGGCGTCGGCCACTCCGCCGGCGGCGGCGACGGCCCCGCCGCCCAGGGCATGGCCAGTGGGACTGGCGCCGCCTGCGGGGGGCCTGCCTTCGGCGCACCCCCCGACGCCTTGCGCGTCGCGCCGTCGAACTCCTCACGGCCGGATTGACGGGGGCCAAGGCTGGCCGGGGCCTTCGCCAGGTGCGCCGCCCCCCCGCCGTGAGAGGCGGCACGGCGGTCCTCGCGGCTCGGCGAGGGGCCGCGGCGGCGGCCCACGGAGCGCGGGCGGCGCCGATCGCGGCTGCCGCTGCGGCGTCGGTCCCTGCGGCGGCGGTCCCGGCTCTCGCTGGACGCCCTCGGCGTGCGGGAACGGGTCTCCGGCTGGCGCGCCATCGCGCTGCGCTACTGCTGCGGTCGCGGGCGTCGGTGCTGCACCGAGTCTGGCCTGAGCCCAGGCACTGCGTTAGAAGGGGGGAACGACACCATCGCGGCGGCGACGGGGCAGACGCGCGACGAGCTGCGAGTGGGAGAACGGGGGAAGGGCGGGAGCGGGCAAGGGCAGGGAGGGGAGGGGTGGTGGAATGTGCAGCAGGGGCGAGGGGAGAAAAGACGCAGCCTCGAGGGGGACGGGCGGAGCAGCGGGGGGGGGGGGAGGACGGAGCCGCAGACGGCGGAGGCCGCCGCGTGGACGCCGCCCGCCCCCTCCCAGGACTGGGGCGCCTGCACCAAGTGCAGCGGAGAGCGGACGCGTTTCCGCGACATCGTCCCCCAGTGGCTAGCGGCGCGCGCCAGCACGTCTCGGTGGTGTCGTCGTCGTGACCGTCGTCGTCGTCGTCGTCGTCGTCGTCTTCGTCGTCGTTGTCGTCGACGACGTCGGCGTCGGCGTCGGCGTCGACGCCGGCGCCGGCGTCGGCGTCGTCGTCGGCGTCGTCGTCGTCGTCGTCGTCGTCGGTTGTTCGTCGTCAACGTCGTCGTCGTCGGTTGGCCAGTCGGTCGGTCGCTCGGTCGCTCGGCCGCTCGGCCGCTCGGTCGGTCGTCGTCGTCGTCGTCGTCGTCCGTCATCGTCGAGGTCGTGGTCATCGCGGCGGCGGGCGGCGGCGTCGTCGTCGTCCTCTGTCGTCGTCTTTGCTGCCGTCGTGTTTGCGGTGCCGTTGCCTTTGTGCTTATCTTTGTTGCGGCGGTGGTGCAGAGGCGGGCGGTGTAGAATAAGCCAAAGCCCTCAGACATGGGCGCCGTAGAACAGAAAAATACGGCAGGCAGTTTGGCGCCCGTCTCGAGCTCTTGCGGACCGATGGAGCTCCAGGCGTGGCGCAGAAAGACACGGTTGACAGCCCCAAAACGTGGGTCTCCACGAAATTGCCAGAAATTGAGTGCGTCCATGAGGGGGTGAGGACCAGTGAGGGGTGGACACCATAGACCATTTTGAGGCCCATGAGATCTGCCAGATTTCATATGCCCCTTAGTGGCGCACGGCGTGCGGAACGTTTGGGTGCCTTGGCCCTTTTCCAGTCAGGTCTCGCCGATCGCACTGGCCACCCAGAAGGACCTCCAAAGTACGTCTCCCGTGGCCGGTTGTGCGCGGACAAGGCGGGTTCGCCATAATATCTTCCAACGCGTGCTGGGGTCATTGCCGAGTGGTTGTGGCACTTTAGTTGGCGCTCTTGGGCACCAACAAGAACTTCTCCCATGGCCCAAAAATGATCTCCAAGATGGCCCCAGATGGCTCCCAAGAAGCCTCCCAAAGCTGCTCAAGGCGGCTCCAAGAGCGCTCAAGAGATGCATCCAAGACGTTCGCACCGCGCGTGCGAGGGCTCTTCCTTGGCATGGTGTCCGGACTGTCGAGGCTCCTCCTTCTCCTCTTCCTCTTCTTCCTCCTCCTCCTCCTCCTCCTCCCCCTCCTCCCCTCCTCCTCCTCCTCTCCTCCTCCTCCTCCTCCTCCTCCTCCTCCTCCTCCTCCTCCTCCTCCTCCTCCTGCAGCGCTCAGGCCGGGCCACGCGCTTCCTCACGGCACCGCGGTCTTGCCCTCAGGGGCCCTGGCAACGACAGGGCCGTTTTTGTTACCGGCTCCGTTGTAATGGGCCGTTTTTGTTGCCGGTTCCGTCGCTGATGGTTTGCCGGTTCTGTCGCCGTTTGGTTGTCGGTTCCGGTATTGTTTCCAAAGCGGGAGCCTTTTGTTCGTTGTTTTTGCCATCGTTTCCACTCGCAAGAGACATTTCTTCGAAAACGGTGGAAAAAAAAACGGCACTGCTGTTTCCGGAGCCCACTTAAGGCCAGAGCCGACCGAGTATAATGTCGGTCTTGGAAGGAAATAGACCGGACCCCCCCCCCGTCCGTTCCGCAGGGGAGGGGCAGTGCTTCCGGCGGCGAAAGACGTATTTTGTTACTTCCCCCGCGGTTACGGCGGTTACGCAGCTGCGGCGCATGAACTTCTGCAGCCTGCTATGATCCGCATGGCGTCGATGGCCGTGGCTCTGGTGATCTTGGGCCGTTCAAAGTTGAATGTTTTGTTGCCCCAGCCTTTTCCAACAAACACATTAGAATCTCACTATGGAAGGACGGAGCTTTATGTGCAAAGGTCTGGGGGCCAACATTTTGCGACTTGACGTTTTCGACCCCGCCGTTTGTCATCGACTTCAGCCTCGGGTGACCGTCTTCGGACCCCGGGACCAGCAGTGGGTCCTGGACGCAAGGAGGCCCCCTCCGGGGGAAGGGGCCGAGCGCTCTGGGAGCTGCTGTTTGGGGGTTCGGGTCGCGTCGACACGGCGTCGAAGCTGGTGCCCGCGTCGGTATTCAATCGAGCCAGGCCAGCCTGGAGCAATCTCAGCGTCGGATCGTGGAGGTCGTACTGGTCGATATGTCTGCTCGGCGCCAGAAACGGACATCGACGTCAGCGCCGCACGAGCCTTCGGCAGTCTTCGGCAGTCTTCGGCACCTGCGTGCAGGCGCTGACACCTTCTGCCGTGCCGACTGCGTGCGGGCGCTGACACGCAGGACCTGCTTAGGTGTCCGGCTGCCGAAGACATCTTCGGCAGCCAGACACCTAAGCAGGTGCCGAAGACTGCTGAAGCCCATATCTCGGCAGTCTTCGGCACCTGCTTAGGTGTCTTGCATGGGCGGCCGAGGGACGGCGCGTCGGGACACCGAGCGCGTCGGGCCTGTCCATCTACAGGGGGGAAATTCAAAAATAGTCAAAAACTAGCCTGGGGATGATTTGTTGAGTATTGTTGTTCGCATTTTGTTGCTGATGGTTGGGGTAGTTTGAATTTGTCGTGCAAGATCCCCCTGTAGGGGGACAGGCCCGACCTACGGTTATGGCTTTGGGCTCCTCTCGTTGGCCTTGCTCGGAAGTCCTGGCCTCACCCTTGCGGGTAACTACAGTCCGGCCCTTGCTGAAAGTCGGGCGCGTCTCTCTACAAGAGATATACTCAGACATGGTATGTATTTCCGACCATTTCAACTTATTGGTAGACTACTTTGCATTTTCGTCCAAAATCCGCCTGTAGGAGGACATGCCCGACCTAATTTGAGGGATCGTGGCAAGACGGAGCACAATGTACCGCGAAGGTCGGCACGCGCCATGGGGTTCATGGTGCGCCATTGGCCTCGCGGAGTTTTTGAGTGCACCGCCCAGACCAGCGGCCATGTGCGCAGTCCCTCCTCCGCCTCCCAGCCTCGCTGCCTTCCTCCATGTCTCCTGCTCCATCTCCCGTCCCCTCCTCCCTCGTCCTCGTCATTCTCATGCCCCCCCTTGATCTTGCTCTTTCCTTCTCCGTCCTCCTCCTCCTCCTCGCTCTCTCCCTTCTCCGTCGACATCCCTGCCCTCCCTCTTCCGTCTTCCCAAGCTCCTTGCTTCTCGTCCTGCTCCTCCTCCTCCTCCTCCTCCTCCTTCTGCCGTTGTTGAGATGGTCTCGATGTTTCTCGGGTTCCCTGGTTAAGGAGGAGGAGGAGGAGGCGGAGGAGGAGGAGGAGACGGAGGAGGAGGAGGAGGAATGAGGAGGAGGTTAGTGCGCTCCTTGGTCAGCTCAACGAGCCAGGTCACCTTCGCCGAGAACGGCGGCAAACCCTGCGAGCAGTTCGACGCCGGGGAGGCCCCCCTGCCGCTGTCCACGAGAGCCTGGGGCGGCGATGGCTCTCAGAGGAGGAGGAGGAGGAGGAGGAGGAGGAGGAGGAGGAGCAAGTCAAGAAGCCATTCGAACGTTGGCGCGTGGGGAAAAAAGCGTGTCGCCGCACACTGCAGTTGCTGCACTTGTGAGGCATCAGAAGCGGAGTGCATCACGACTGTGAAGCAGCAAATGTATGAGCAGAGGGGGGAAGGAAGGAGGAGGGGGGGAATTAAGCACAAGTGTAATGTGCAATCACTCGTTTCCGTCAGTGAATGTTGCAACGAAGCTGGCCCACTGTCTCTTGACTGCGACACACATTGGAACAGTGTTCCGTCTGACTCAAAACAGCTTTGGGCTTCAGCATATGAAGAACAATGATCGGTCTCACGCTGCCAGGTTGGACAGTTCGTTTCCAGAGCACATCCGTGTCGTTGTTGCCGTCAAGCTTTCCAACTCACATAACGTGATGATGAAATTATTGAGCGCTGTAATATGATGTTGATCCCGCCTGTTGCGCGCTTGTGTTTGACACCTTTGACATACAGTAATGGGGGGACGTTTAGAATATTCCGAATGCAGCGCGCCTGGAACCCATCCAGTCGTCAGTTTTCATCCCGGCTTTACACACCAGAATTCCACGAATGCATCATATTCGTCGTAATGCGAGCCCCCAACACGTTCACTGTTCGTTCTATACTGGTGGACGTCTGTTTCCTAACTTTTATGTGTGTTACTCAACTTCCTTTCACGCTGACCCAATTTGTTTGACCAGACTTCGCTTGATCTTGCCACAACTGTAGGCCGTGTCCACAAGGCATACCATGTGTTCTGCAGCCCAAATCTATTGCCACGTGGTTTCCACACGTGGATGCCGCAGTCTCTTTGTATCAGTTGGGATGTGTTCCATTGGAGTCATAGCCATACTTCTTTTTCTGCTTCTGCAGTTGTATCTCGCAGTTTTTGTACTTAACCTCCGTGTCGTGCACTCAAGAGAGTCAGGAGCGAAAGAAGGACGTACATGTACATGAATCCACGCTGGTTTCGAGAGCACGCATTGCACAAATGTTCGTATAACGCGGCCGGTCTCGCGAATCGAGGGGCCGTGTTCATGTACATAGCTGGGCGCGTACGTCTTTTGTGGACTCCCTAGAGAGTGTCACCAACATGTTTTAGAACAGGCAAATCTCCAGCAGCCCGTGGTTTCAATTATTATTCGTCCACGTTGCCGCCCGAGCTTCAACAACCTAATCCGCCACCTCCTGTGTAAACAGGCAAGGCGATACAGGGCGGACGATAAGGCGCGTCTGATGCGTGATTATTGCTGCCCGTATGCAGCGCAACATGTGATTTCGCAGTTGTTAGTTATGGGAGGATGCCAGATATGTGTAGGGAGGCAACAAGAGCGGTCGGGTTTATCGAATCGAATGTAGTATTCCAGCGAGGGTGGCGACAGCTACGCGGTCAGCAGAGCCCAGGTAGGCGAAGAGACAGACACCAGCTGGCAGCGCGGCAACACCCGTGGAGGCGAGATCTAGATTGGAGAACCTTCGTACCCCACTCCGTTGGGCCGCCTGGAAGCTCACGGAAGGGGCGACCGTTGCGCAGTTGGCAGCACGCATGTTGGGCGAGGTCTGGATGCGAACAGCCCAGGACACCGAAGCGTGGACGGCGCTCGAGCATCACTACACCGACCCCGCACCAGCAAGCACAGGGATAAAACAATGACACGAACTCCCACTACCCGCGCCAACACCGACACCAAGGACTTCTTCTTCCTCCCTCCCTCCATCCTCCCCCACACCGACACACACGAGCAAACCGTGCAGCACGCCAACATCGACCTCTAGGACCCTCCTTCCCCCCTCATAATTTTCATGCATGAATTTCGCATTGCATGTTGTCCAGACACGCCAGATTTCTGAGGCCAAGGCTTTGCCCACCTGGTCTTAGCTAGGCCCGGACGATGTCCGCAGCGCTGGTCGTATCATATCGTCTCGTATGGAGGCGAGGTCTAGTTCAGATACCTTGAGCACCGCATTCCGATGGACTCCTATGAGCACGCGGGAGTGGCGACGCTGCGCAGTTGGTAGCACGCAGGGGGGCGTGGTGTGGATCAAAGTGGTTGGGCGTCGTTGGTTTCTTGTTTCGTCTCTGGGGGCTTCGGGGGACCTCCAAAGGCCTTTGGAAGATCAGGAAGATGGCAAAGAGGCAGCGAGAAGCACGAGGAGGAGGAGGAGGAGGAGGAGGAGGAGAATGTCAGTGCGTGCGGGACACTGGCAGACATTCGGGCTGAGGTTCGTCATCTTCGGAATGCCGGAGGAGGAGCTCTAGGGTGAGCGCGCCTGTTTCGGCAATGGTTCTGAGCCAGAGTTTGCTGAAACCCCCTCGTATTCCCCGCTCTCGCCGCCCCGAACGCCGTCCCCGTTGCGAGAGTCTGTTGTCGCAGGCGGGAGTGTCTCTCCCCCCGGCCGAGTTCCCGAAAATTAGCCGTTCAGGCAAGAATCGGGGCTCGGGGTCGCAGCCCTCTGCGGGGGCAACTTTTCGGACGCACCCCCCTCAGGGATGGACGCCCCACCCCCTGACTATCGTGTATCCCCGAGCTGGGCACCGAACGTTTTGCCCGACCGAAGAGCACACGAAGCCGGTGAGTGAGAAGGCGAAAGGGCGGGGGAGGATGAGGAGGAGGAGGAGGAGGAGGAGGAGGAGGAGGAGGAGGAGGAGGAGGAGGAGGAGGAGGAGGAGGAGGAGGAGGAGGAGGAGGAGGGGGGGGGTCGCCATGCCCCCACGGGGTGTTCCCACGCGCAGCCGCTCTCGCCTGAAGTCCAACCACGCCCGCGCAGAAGCCGCAGATCGGCGCTGCGCTCTGCGACCCCGCTCTTTGAAAAACACGGGGGGAAATAACGCGCAGACACAATGAATCGTCGATTTCCCAGAACGTGTGCGAAATATGGACAAGGGGGGCATAGAGCATAGAGAATAGAGCACCGTGGGAGGTGAAGCGATGCCCGCCGGAGGAGGTCGAGAGGTCCGGGACCCTTTGTCACGGGGGCAGAGGTTGGACAGGAGGTTGATCTAACCCCCGCTCGAGCGAGCTGCCATTGCTCAGGAGGGGACAGAAATACACACACAGACACAACGAAGCGTCGCTTCCCAGGAAAGTATGCGAAGCTATTGACAGTGGAGGGGGACGACGAAAACCCAGGAAACGTGGGGGACAGCTGGGGAATCCTGGGATGTGTGTGTGTGTGTATGTGTGTGTGTGTGTGTGTGTGTGTGTCTTAGCCTTCTAGATAGGGTCCGAGTAGATGGGGTCGGTGGATCGCGCCGCATCGCCGATGCATCGACGGTGCATCGGCGACGTCGGCGATGCACCGGTGACGTCGGCGTTCCGCGCTGGGCCCCCTGGCGGCGCCTCCGGCGCCGCCCCTAGCGCGCTCCGCGCGCCAGGGAGGAGGGTCCAGCGCAGATCACAGAAATCCGCGCGGAGCGTCAGCAGTTTATGTTTATATTCAAGCAGTGGCGAAGCGTCCTGGCTTACCTATAGGCAAACCAGAGAATGTTCTAAGAACCTTTTGTGGTCTGCACGAGATGTTCTCATAACATTTCTGGCTGGGACTGCCTTGTTTTAACGCATCGGGCTCATGTTCTAAGAACACTGTTGTTGTTGTTGTTCGTAGACAGTTCTTGAGTTCGAAGAAGATTTCGTCGTAGGCCTGTAGGAATGCCGGGACGGTCGGCCCCTGCTCAATGTATATGGCGTCTTTCTTTTTCTATATCATCACAACGGCCCGCGAAGGGCAACAGCAGGCGGCCGCGCTCAGCGAGGAGAGCAGCCCACCAGCGATGGGTGGCATCTCCCGGGGCGGGGGCGCCCTGTCGCCTACAGCGGGCTCCCTGCGCCCTATCCGCCCACCCAGGCCCCCTCGGGATATGAAAAAAAAATCCGGACGAGAGGGTTTCTTGCTAGTGTCGGCCTCTTGGGACTCTTGGCGACCCTCGGGACCGTCAAGAACCGATTCGGGATGAAAAGCCGGTCCTGGGGAATGGAGACCGTTTCTTTGTTGCTTAGGGCATGCCGGGCGTCATGGCCCCCGCCCCCGCCCCCCCCCTTTGTGACGTAACGCTCCCCCCCCAGCGCGCTCCGGGCACTGCCGCCGTGTACGTCGAGATCCGCATAGGTGTCCGCATTGGAATCTGCATAGGAGTTTGGTCCGCATTGGGAATCTCATGGGGGTCCGCATAGGGATGCGCATGCGCATCCGCCTAGGGATCCGCATGCATAGGGGTAAGGATCCGCATAGGGATTCGCATAGGGATTCGCATGACAATGCGCATGGGCATAGGCATCCGCATCGTGATCCGCATCGGGTTCCGCGTAAGCATCCGCGTAAGCATCCGCGCAGGGATCTTCATAGGGATCCGCCTAGGGATCAGCATAGGGATTCGCATAGGGAACCGTGCTGGGATCAACATAGGTATCCGAAGTTGTAATTTTGTGTTCCCGGTGAAAACTCTTCCTCTTCCTTCTCCCCTCTCTCTCCTCCTCCTCTTCCTTTGAAATGTTCAAAATTACGGAGCGCGTGTTTAGAGGTTGCCCGCCTTTTTTCGGCAGTCTGTCGGTGCAAGGGCCATTCGAAGCAGAGAGTGGGGACATAACGTTCTCACAGCGTTGGAAAAAGGAGCGGACACAATCGTAGAACAATCTTAAATTTGCACCGATGGATTATTTTAGTATCGGCATCATGTTCTTGCTGTTGCCGCTCCTCCTGCCCCCCTCACGCGTGCTGCAGCGCCGACCCGCAAGACAGGGGGGGACTGCGAAGGAAAAGGAGGAGGGGCAGGAGGAGGAGGAGGAGGTGGAAGAGGAGGATGAAGAAGAGGAGGAGGAGGAGGAGGAGGAGGAGGAGGAGCTGGAGGAGGAGGAGGAGGAGGAGGAGGAGGAGGAGGGGGAGGAGGCGGAGGAGGAGGAGGAGGGAGGAGTAGGAATATCAGGAGGAGGAGGAGGAGGAGGAGGAAAAGGAGGAGGAGGAGGAGGAGGAGGAAGGAGGGAAGAACGTCACAATCTATTTTCAGGACTGCCCAGGCGTGGCGTTTAGCTGTCCGCAGCAAATCTTCAACCACATGCTCGTTCTACCTGTCCTTATCGCTGCGTGCACGCGGATGCTGAGGTGTGCACAGGCGCTGAGGTTCACGCAAGCATTGTGGTGTACGCCGGCGCTGTGTTGTAAATGGCTGCTGAGGTGTCCGCATTCGCTGTGGTGTACACTTGGCGCTGTGGGGCACGTGAGCACTGGTGTGCACAGGGGCTGCGTCGCGCACGGCTGCTGCGGTGTACGCAGGCGTTGTGATGCACAAACGCGCTGTGATCCACGCGAGTTTTGTGGTGTACACAAGTGCTGTGGGGCAAGTCGCCACCTGCATGCTGCTCGCGTCGTTGTTGTCGTCGCTCGTCGCTCGTCGCTCATTGTCGTCGCGCGCGCGGGCGCGGCTGTGGTGCCAGAGCCGCACGGCGTTACGTCATACCCCACCCCGCCCCCCCTCCATGACGCCCGTCATCGCCGAACATAAAGAAACGCTCTCATGGGTCGAGACCTCCAGGGGTCGACGTAATGAACAAATCATGACGTCGGGGGTATGGGCATCCTCCTCGTTGGGACAAGCCGACGAGGAACAGCACACCCGTTGGGGAAACGATCGCATTCGTTCGGGTTGACCCTAAAGGTGTCCATCGACAAGGGGGTGGTGCAATATATTTGGTGTAATACAGTTGTGGGGTTGCTATATATATATATATGGGGCGTGCAATACATGTCGGGGCGCAAATGTATTGCTGTATTTTCGCGTGCGATACATACCTGCAACACAATGCAACACAATTCCCCGGCGCAATACATTTGCAATACAATTGCCCCAAATCTATTGCACCACCCCCTTTCAGCTGGACCCCCTTTGGGTCACCCAAAATCGTGCATACCGGAAAAAGGTAACAAGTTCAAACTCGCCGATCTCTCCGGATTCGGACGCCGTGGTTTCCCTTCTTTTCTTCTGGTCCAGGACTCGTTGCCCCAGGGCCAGCCAATGCTTCCCGCTTCGGCGCGGGAAGCGAATCCAACGAATCCAACTTGGGCGAGCCCGCAAGGCCGACGACGCGGAGGACGAGGAGGACGACGGCGAGGACGAGGGGAAGGACGGGGACGACGACGAGGACGACCACGACGACGACGACGACGACGACGACGACGACGACGACGACGACGACCGGAGAGTGACACCCCCCTCGACGAGGTCGGCACCTGCCCGCGCAAGTGCGACCGCGAGGCCTTCTGCTCGTGGGACAGCTGGAGCGCCAGCGGCGGCGCGCGCACGCTCTGCGTCGTCATCTCCGTCGCCGCCGCCGCCGCCGTCGTCGCCGCCGCCGTCTTCGTCACCGTCTTCGTCTTGGTCTTCGTCGTTAGCTTCGTCGTCGTCTTCGTCGCCGCTTTCGTCGACGTCGTCTTCGTCGCCGTCGCCGTCGCCGCCTGCATCGTCCTCGTCCTCGGCGTTGTCGTCATCACCTCCGTCGCCGCCGCTGCTGTCTTCGCCGCCGCCTTCCTCCTTGTCTCAGTCGGCGCTTCCCTCCGCGCCCTCGTACCCACGTCGTGCCCTGGGAGTGCGGCCGCTGCCCGAGACTCCCTGGCGAGTCGTGGGCTAGGAGCGCCCTCCGGGACTGCTCTGCCGAGCTGCGCTGACCCCGAGCTTACGAGGACCCGCCAGAAGGAAGCTCAACCGAGCCTCAAGTCGTTCACCTCCGGTCGTGCTAGGCCTTGGCATAGCTCGGACGTGTGCATTTTTCCTTCGGCGAGGACCATCGAGGAGCATCCTTGATCATCTGGCGAGAAGACCACGCACGAAACCGAAAAAAACACAGGAAATGGACGTCCGAGCGATGGCCAGAGGCGCGCCCGTCCCGCCGCGCTGCGTGTTCGAGAGCCGAAAAGGGCAGTGGACGCTGTCGGAGCGCCGCGCCCCCGGCGAGAAGCTAAGACATGAGTCGTCCACCTCCGCCCTCGCGCTCCCCAGCGTCCCCTCCTTCTCTCCTCCCCTTCCGGACCCCCTCGACGCTGTGCTGCTGTCGCAGCGTGGGCCCGTGGGGAGGTCTCGACCTGCGTAGGTCCTGGGACCGTCTTGTCAGCCGATGTCGTCACCCGCCCGATAAGTTGGGGTCACCAGGTTTCAAGAGCGACGAAAGTCGGCGGCGAGCGAGGCGGGGAAGTGAGAAGGAGAAGGTCCTCTCAGAAGGCGGGCGGGCTTCTCAGAAGCCCTCGCGCCTTCTGAGAAGTTTTCCGCGCCTTCGGGGAAGGCTCAGAACACTTCTCCGAAGGCCGGGGGACTTCCGAGCCTTCTGAGAAGGCCTTCCCCTCCTCATTTTTTCCCCTCCTCGCTCGCCGCCCAGCCAGGCTGCGAGAGCGACGAGCAAAAACGACCCGCCCGCCCGCCGTGCACGCTGCGCCGCCAGGCCCCAAGACCCCCGACTGTCCCTGGTGCCCCGCCCCCCGTCCCCGATGGGCGGCGACGACGGGCCCGCGAGGACAGGGCCACACGAGGCGGCAGACGTGCGGAGCGGGCACCACAGCAGTCGGGTCTGGTTGGTGGGCCGACCCTGCCGCGCCGAGGGTGCCCTCGTGCCCCATGTGCTCCGCGACCCACGCTTGCGGCATTCCTGTGGCAGTGTGGCCCTCGGGAGGGCCTCGTGTCCTCTCGCGTGCCCTCTCCAATCGGGCTCGACTGTGACCTGTTTGCGTAACTGACGCCATGGCAGACATGGCTCACACGCGCACACGGATCACATCACTACAGCGCCTAAGGCCATGCAACGAGCAGGCTCTACATGCGCACAGCACGGATCATTGCCATGGGCAGGGTGCAGCGATACATGTTCACATGAGCCAGAGGAGCTAGACAAACGACCATGCACATAGACAGCGTATGCTTGACACACATAAGTGGCATATGTACGTAACATAACCCAATACAAAAAAACACAAGCACATACACACACACGCACACACACGCAGTTCGGCGGCGAGCCAGGGAGGGAAGCGAGAAGGAGAAGGTTCTCTCAGAAGGCGGGCGGGCTTCTCAGAAGCCCTCGCGCCTTTGAGACATGTTCTGTGCCTTCGAGGACGACTTAGGAAACTTCTCATAAGGCCAGGGGACTTCCGAGTTTCCCAAGAAGGCCCCGCCCCTTCTCACTCCCCCCCGGGCCCGCCGCCGAGCAGCCCGTTAGAGAAAGAGGGGCAGACGTGCATGCGTACGAAATGCCCAGGCGTAGAGCACAGCCCCAGGGCACATGCGCGATGCGCATGCGCGCAGAAAGTACCTTCACAAACTGGGAGAGGCCTGGCACGGGCCGCAGACGTCCGAACGCATCCCCCCTCGGCCCTTGGTGCCCGAGGGGCGCGGCGGGAAGTATGCCATCTGTAAGAAACACGAATGGAGGAGGTGGTGGAAAGTTTTGCTGCCGCCTCAGACTCCTCCTCCTACCCCTTCTCCTTCTCCTCCTCCCCCTCCTCCTCCTCCTCCTCCTCCTCCTCCCCCTCCTCCTCCTCCTCCTCTCCTCCTCCTCCACCTCCTCCTCCTCCTCCTCCTCCTCGTCCTCCTCCTCCTCCCCGTAGCCATTTTGGCTCAAGACCCATGAGTGGGCGGGCTGAGCCCGCATTGGCTTTCACGGATACCGCCAGTCCGCGGCTGTGCCAGGGCGCTTGCGCCCGACATCTGCTTTCGCCTGTACCGAGGGGTTGGGCTCCCTCCCAGAAGTGTGAGACGCGGGCGCCAGCATGGCGCCAGGGCCGCCGCCGTCCGCCCCTGCGGTGCTCCGCGGGCCGCGGCGGCCCACTTGGGCATGCGGGCGGTGCTCAGCCTCGGCGAACTGGGCATCGCGCATCCGCTGTCAGTGTGGGAATGAAGCGCCGTTACGTATCAAGAAGGCTGCTTGGACCGCTCACCAAGAGATCCTTGCCAAAGGTGGCCTCTCAGGTGGGAAAGGACAAGATAGCGGCAAGCAAGAAGACGAAACGAGTAAGCGTCTGGAGGCCATCGAGAAGCTTCTCCTCGGCAACGGCGCTCCATCTACAAGTGCGGTGCCTCCGAAGGTCTGGCCAACGCCAGGCGAAGGGGCACCGCCTTGGAAGCAAGAACCTAAGGCAGATGGCAACAGCATGGACACGGAAGAAGATGATTCTACCAAACGTACGAGGCTATCGAGCCAGATTGCGCAATATGAGTCAATCCTCAAGGCGCTTCCTGGCGATGAGTGTGACCAGATCAAGAAGGCTACGAAGGTCAAGTTGGCTGAGCTGCGTGAGCAGCACAAGGCATTGCGGACTCCTACGCAAGCCCACCGCCGTGCGCAGCAAGATCTGGAAACAGCTAAGTTACACAGTGCGAAGCTGGAGATTGAGATCAACGAGAAGGAGCAGCATATCGCCAAGATGCAGGAAGCTTTGGAATCTCGTCGTGCGCAGCTCCAAGCTAAACGTGCTGAGGTTGTTACCCTGGAGGCGGAGTTCAAGCGAACGGCGGCATTGGTCGGTCATCCTGCCCCAGCAGACGACGACGCCAAAGCTGCCCCCAACTTCGACTTCGATGTCAAGGCCTCGGACGTCAGTGATTGCGATTTGCAGTCTTTCCTCGGGTCCGAGCTGTGGACTAAGCTGCAGTCGGTGCTCAAGAGCAAGTTCGCTGCTGCTTCCCCTCCAGCTCCTGCTCGCGATGATGGTGAGTCTAGTGCTGGGGGTGGGGATGAGTCTAGTCCCAGTGAAGCTCCCAAGCGCACCTTCGAGGACCTGCCCGACGAAGATAAGCAGTATCTCTTCGACTCCGACACTTTCGAGGATTTCAGCACCAAGCTGGGATAGTTTACTAAGCGACAACGACGAGGGTAGCGCGTATGAGATGATGTACAGGGCGATCTCTGGTACCGATTCAGTCTCATTGTGCGCTGCGAGGAACGCAGAGCCTCTGCCTTCCTCGGAGCCCACCCTACCAAGGTCACAGATGTTTTCTGAAATGGTGGATCTCTCAGATGCAGTATTACAGCCTGTCGGCACGCATTGTGGCTCGCTAGGTTTCTGCGACTTGCCCGCAATGGGGGTAGCTGAGAGTAGAGGGTACCGACCATCCACGGATGGCACGCACTGCTCACTCTCTGGACCTCGCGGGTCAACTGCAGGGATCAGTGGCGGGTCGCAGTGCCGACCTTCAGGCTTGGCAGATGGTTTTGTGGCTGTGAGAGTTTCTGGCGTACCTGTATCGATGACAGGAAAGAGGAAGCCTATACTTACACCACCTTCGCAGAGCACCTACCTGTTTGAATCTTTCAATGCAAATGGTGGTCGCAATGCGCTAAGAGACCGGGTGAAACGTTCATGTGCGCATGTTATCCTGGCTCAAGAGATAGGGTATGATGCATCCAATGTCGAGTCCTTGTACACGTGGGCGCACAATCGTGGATGGAAGTTAGTTGCAGTTCCTGGTGTAGCTACTGGAGGGAACCCTTCAGCTCGAGTAGCGGTGTTTGCACGTGCTGAGCTTGGGTTGCGTAAGCCCGAGCCTGGACAACATGTTCTGTACCCACATCGCTTGCAGCATGTGATGGTAGACCTCCCTGGATGGCCAGCTTATCATGTGTTGAATGGATATCTCAAGGACCCCATCGGCCCCACGGGCATCAACTCCACTATCTTGGCCAAGCTCGGGCAATGTTTCTCCGACTGTCGTGGGCCTTGTATTGCTGGATGTGATTGGAATATGTCTGTGGCAGAACTGGAGTCTACTGGATTCCCTCGAACGGCAAAGGTCACCATGGCAGTGCCAACTCAAGTTACTTGTCGAGCAGGAACGGGATCCACGACTATCGACTACTTCGCCCTAAACGATGTGGCGGTGCGAGGTTTCAGGGGTGTGCAAGCTGAAATGCGATGGGCTAAACGACCGCATCGACCTGTGCTGTTGAGTACCGTGGACAATGGATACAGTATTCGTCATTTCGTGTACACTGTGTCGCCATCACTGCCGTCGGCTCCAGTGATAGGACCTACTGCAGCCCCAGCTGACTGGAGTACTCACCGCGCCCTAGCTGAGGCGTGTCTGGCCATGGCGACGGACGAGACGCAGTCGGTCGAAGCTGTATGGGTTTTTCTATCACGTGTGTGGTCGAAGTTCGCAGTGACGGCAGCGAAGCAGGTGGCGATCAACACTGGCACGGAGTTGAAAGAGCCTGGAGTTTTCGGTCGCGACCTGTCTCCCAGGTGGGTTGATGCTACGTATGAGTTAGATGACAATACACACACCAAGTTGATCGCGGA